ACATGGCAAAGGGGGAAGGAAGTGGAAAAACGAGGTCAAAAAGGGACCTAGGAACCTGCAAAACTTTGTTCCTGCAGATTATGTAATTTTTGCCTTTTACATGTACATCTTCAAGGACCTCTTAACCTGTATGGGCCTTAATGCTGAAGCCAAATGTAGCTTTAATTGTGCAATTTGTTTTCTTTTCTATGTTTTGTCATTTTCTGATGCAATTAATAATTACCCAGCAGTATTGGTAACCCCAAAATGGTAATCACCTCAACATTTTGGAAAAGTCACGGCAGCCTGGGTTATAGCTCCAGGAGTGAGGGAGAGCAGTAAAGAACTGATGTCCACGGTGCCTGTCCGACTGCCTTTAATTACAGGCGGGAGCACATTTGGTCCAAAAAATCCAGCCCTGGGATATTAAGTTATGATCTGTTTAGTCAGCCCAATGGGACCTCAGGATGTGTTTTATTTTCCATTCCACTGAAACTGTAAATATACACAATTTCCTAGAGCCATTCTTCTTTAGGGAACGGGAAGTACTCAGTGAGAGCTCCTTGTTTGGTTATGGAGCTGACTGCTGTCCTGGGTGTGGCCCATCGAGTGTGATGTCAGACACGCACGCCTGTTTGCAACACCTGGTCACTTACTATTATTGTTATTATTTGCTATATGGCTGTTTTATAATATCACACACTAGCATTGTAGAGAGAGATCCACTGCCCCAGCATAGATGAGAAGGATGGGAGCGATGTAGATGTATGTGTGTTCGGTCTTAGGCACATTTATTGTCAAAGGTCAGGAAAGAGGGAGGGCTTTGCCACTGCATTGTTCAACCCTGTTAATAGTCTTCCTATTTTACACCATTTTTAAAAGATTTGCAATATTTTCTTTAGACTGCAGACAGTACAAAGCCTTTCTTTTCTGGCCTGAAGTAGTTCCAAGTGGTAAGTACTGCTATATATACAGCCTTAAAATACTTAGTGGTGGTGCCAGTCTGGGCTATCTTTCAATGTAAATGTTCCCAAGTTTTTAAGTACATTCCTCATCATTTTCCCTGGTTAGGGAAAATCTGTTTGTGCTTGATATGTTGAAATAAAACTACACACAACTTTCAGCATTAGTCTATCTGACAAATTATTTTTGGGTTTGTGTTTGACAGTATTTTACAATTAAATCGCTTTTTAGAGGAAAATCTACCAGAAATTGCATCCAACAATGTCAGACCTGGGCCATAAGTTAGAACAGTGTTGTGGGTTTAGTATTGGCTAAATTGTCAGTACACTTATTAGAATTATTAATTCATTTTTTGCTGTGAGATAGGATTAGGAGGAAGGCAAAATAGGCTTAAACTTGAAAGGGTACAAAGAAAAACTTTATATTAGAAACTATTAAAAAAATCAGAATAAAACTTTTAGAATACCTTTTTTCTTCTTCTTTTTTTTTCTTTTATACTGACAATGTACAGAAAATTAATTAATCATTAAAAAAAAAAAGTCTTTCACTAATTTATTTGGGAGAGGAGACGTCTCTCTTCAGTCTATGGAGATTTTTACACAAGAAATAGTTTTTCATGGCCTCGATGTCACAGTGATTAGCTGCCTGTGAGAGTGGAAATTTGATCATTGTGTAAAAATCTCTTCTTTGACTAACAGTTTTTTCACAGCCATTATTGAGGATTATATTAACTTGTGGGGCACACTTTAAGGATTATAACAGTTTAAACAAAAGCTTTCTTCATCTTTGAAAACTGAGGGTTTTTTTTCTTCTTTCCTGGAGGGCAGCAAGAGTTTTTATTTTTTTTTAATTTATTTAAACTTATGGGATTATAGTCATTTTAGTACTTTTTTATTCTAGTACTAGTGTCTCTGTTTATATTTACATTTAAAACATTTATTTACCTTATAATATATTTTTATGTGTTATAGGGAAACAAGAATCTCTTTTTTATAGTTTGAAAAAATTTCAGTCCACGACTTTTTTCCTTTCTTCATCTGGGACTTGACTTTTTCTTTTGTTTGACCTCGGGATTTTTATGTTGGTTTTGTGCTTATCTTTATTTTGGTTCTTTTCTTTCACTCAGGAGAGAGAACAAAGTGTTTGTAAATTTTATTCTGGGCAGTGAGAGAGTTAATATTTTGCCTCGGTCTGCAGATGGTTATGTGATTTTTTTTATTTTTTTTTTTCCGGGCCGCAGTCGGGAATTATTTTACGATACAAAGGTTTTTTAGCCGTAGGATCATACTTTTTATGCTATGATGGAACGCTGGACTATGCTCTTAGCAGGGACCAGGCAGAAATAGTAGTGTGTTGCTCGGCTGTATTCTATTCGGGAGGGGGAAACCCGGCTCTTTTGCGGTGCCCGGCATCACTGAGCCCCTGCCCGGAGCCGTTCCCAAGGTGTTAGTAGCGGCATTTCTGCATTTCTGCAGCGCTGGCGGAGGAGGAGGGAGGGGGAAGCAGCCAAGATTTCAGCGGCCGATGGTTCCCCCCTCCCCTTTCCCTGCTTTAGCAATCGCTGGGGCCCAGCCCTGCCGGTACGGGCCCCCCTCCCCCGGCCCGGCAGCGCGGAGGGGCCAGGCCAGGCTGTTACCTGTACTGAAGCCGGAAGGGAAAAAGAGCTTTCCCGAAGTTTGTTCATTTTGAAATATGAATTTCACAGAGGCCTATCCATTTTTTTTTTCCATTGGTTTAACCGTTGAAAACAAATACAAAAATGGTTTAATCATTTAAACAAAAAGTATCACTAATTGATTTTTGTCCGACATAAAGGAAATCTAGCTGCCCTCTCAGAAAAAGAATCGCTTCCTTAAGATGTCTTTAGTGTCAAACCAGGACAAACAGCAATAGCAGTTTGAATTTCATCACGGGCAGCTGGCTGCACAGCACTGACTCCTTCTTTGGCTCACAGGCGGGCCAGCCCGACCATCAGCCCCGCACTGGCCGCGCCCTGCTTGCCCTCACAGGTGGGCAGCGCCCAGCCCCAAAACCCTGGCACTGACTCCTTCCTTGCCTCGCAGGCCGGCAGGGCAGCCGTCACCTGCATCATCAGCCCCGCACTGGCCGCGCCCTGCTTGCCCTCAGAGGCGTGCAGGGCAGTCAGCCCCTTCATCAGCCCCGCACTGACGGCTGCCCCCACTCGCCTTCCCAGGCGGGCACGGCACAGCCGGCCCAGAGCCCAGCACTGGCTACTCCCTCCTTGCTTACCTTCACAGGCGGGCAGGGCAGCAGCCAGCCCCAAAACCCTACACGGACTCCTTCCTTGCCTCACAAGCAGCCAGCTCCACACAGCACTGACTCTTTCCCTCTTTCTCTCTGCAAGTTTCCTTCTTTCTTCTGCATGACCGGCTAAACCTAACCTGTCCCGTAACCGGCCACCTGACCGTCCCCTGCACGACCGCATGTCCCTTCCTCTTTACAGCACAGCCAGCACATTCCATCTCCTACTCTAACTGATGGACAGCTAAACTTTTATAACACCCACCGTCATTGGACAGGTAAGGCTGTTTCCCCTCTCTGGTAATCAGTAGAGTGGTATTTCATGGGGGAAACTTGCCTTCTGCACAATTCTTACAAACCGTCCAAGAAATTGTCTTATAATTTTAGCAACTTCCACAGAACAACATTTTCACTTGATTTTCACTGTTGTACATGCAAATGCAACAACTTGTTTTGGACTTGGGGAACTTTTATATCAAGGACTTGAGGACAGTGAATAGATTGTTCCACAGAGAGAACTGCAGCTCTCTGATATGAACAGGCAGTATCTGGAAGCTGACATTCAGGAAACTGATCACAAATAGAAAAGGGTGAGAGTGGCTTTGTTATTAGCAAAAGTCTGCAGAAAACCAAAGTATTCTTCATCCTTGAAAAATATCAACATTACTGATCCACACTGAATGCCTTTTTGAAGGATGTCATCCTAGTCACCTTTTCTGAGGAAGTCTGGCCTGTGCCATATGTGGTGTAAAACTCAGTGAGAGGCTGTTACCTCTGCCTGCCAGGCTGTGCCAAGTCCTGTGTGCAGCTTCAAAGTGTTTGCCTCGAAGTTCCTATACATCCAAGTGTTTGGATGTAAAGCTGTGCAAACACATCCAGTGACCTCTCCTTTGAATGCTTCAGCAAGTCAGCACATCTCCAGCCTGTCAGCACAGCCTTCCTCATCAGACTCATCCTGCTTTGGGACCGTGTGTTTGAGTTATGGATAGGAGCTTCTCCACTTCTCTAGAGCTGCTTACATCCCTTGGGTACAACTGTATACTGGCTTTGGGAAATGGTTACTAAACAACAACCCAAGGGAAAAAAACCAAGCAACTCAAGCCCCCCTGAACCAAAGAGAGCAGTGGCGAGCAGGAAGCCTTCAGTAGGTGTAAATGTGAGTGCTGGAAATTGTTTGGATTATTTCCATTTTACTGAACTATGCACTCACAGGGATTTCACTGGGACTTCTAACTGCAGTTAAGTAAAATAAACGCTGTTACCACAAGAGTAGCAGTTCAGTGAAAGAAACGATCAACCCATACAAGTTAATTAAGCATCAGCAGGAGAAGAGTTTCCAAAGTTTAGGGCTGCTGCCGCAGAGGTTAAAAAGTGATCCCAAAAGGAACAGCCTATGAATCCATAGACTATCAATTTTAATCCAATTTCAGTATCTGGAGGTCAATGTTCCTACATGCCAGTTACATGGGAAATGAAAAGTATTTTCAAGGAAAATCATGGCCAGAAAGGTTATTTCTCTGGGAGGAGTACTGAGGAGAAACGTAAGAACCCTTTTAAGGCTTTAGAAAACCCAGCTACATGCGCTACATTTAAACACTGTTGGAAAACTAATGCTTACAGCCTTTCCCTCTGCTTTCCGTGATCAGAGTGGGGAGCACATATAAAAATGGAGACTTCCTGCGGTTTCTGGAAGCACCAGAGCGGCAAAGAATGGTCGGCACCGCTCCGGGGCCTCTGCCCCGCCTCTCGGAGCTAGCCACATCCCCACGCCCTCTCCGGAAACAGCCCGAGCGCCACGGGAGCGTGCAAAGCCATGGCCAGTACCATGGGAGCCGGGCGAGCGCTGGGGCTGCTGTTGCAGGTGAGTGTTGGGTGGGACTCCGGCCGGGACCATCATCTGCAGGTACGGGCTCGCCCTCCGCCTGCCCGCTTTGAGTGCCGGCTGTCAGCCATCCGCAGCCAGAACGTACATTCAGCTTTTTGAGGGGCAAAAAGTCTTCCTGCAGCTCTCGTGAGAGGGAGCCCATCTGGGTTTTTCTTGTTTTCTTCTTCTTTTCTTTCTCCTTTCTTCTTCAAGAGACTTTAGTAACTTTCCCGAACTTTTTGTCCGTGTTTGGCACGGACGCGTCTTTGTCCCGGGAAGCCTGCGGCTGCCGCTAACTCAGCGCCCTTCAGGGATGCCGGCACATTTCACGGCTTTGCATCCTCGCTCACTCGCCGCTGCCGCATTCCGCCTCTCCTCGGAGAAAAAAAAAAGTTACAAGTCAGGAGTGAGTTCTTTAATAGTCCTCATGTTCTTTAACTATGAAACTGGAGGTTATCCCACCTCCCCACAGTTACGGGGAAGGTTTTCAGTCTACCAGTGGGAGACTTTAAAGAGCAGGACCCTCTTGGTTTTAGTTTAGAAGTTGCCCGCTGGTGGCAATTAGTGACGGGGCGCTCGGCGGCCACCCCTTCCTCTCCTGCTTTTGTTCTAGACGTTTTTCTCGTGTGAGCGTTGTGAGGGCTGTGACTCAGGTGTCCCTGAGCGCAGGGAATGAACGAACCTGCGCTCGCCTCCCTGAAAGCACCTGACCCCGCCCTGCTGAGGCGCCTACGCGGGAGCGCTGCCGACGAGTGCGCGACCTGCATGCTTCTTTTGCATTAAAAAAAAAAAAAAAAAAAAAAAAAATCATTCCCAATGCTCCTGAAGTAGCGCTGTTGATGACTCGGTTTGCCTTCTGCCTAAAGTTAGAGCCAGTGAAACGTGTTGTATGTGGAGCGTTTCCTCAGCTTTGCGGGAGCGAGACTAGCACCATGAATTTAGAAATGGGGGAAGGCAGAAAGGAATCCCTTGCACACTGCAGAAACTTTGACGCCTGCAGTTCAAATGCAGTGATCTAGTGGACGGGAAACAAGTTTACATGAAGGCAGGAATGCGTGGCAATCGTTGCCTTAATTCCATCAGCCTCTGTGTGGTGCTGCCTTAACCGCAGTTTTGTGATGGCAATTACTGCTGTGAGGAGCACTTAGCAGAAATTAGTTTGGGTTTCCTCTGTGGCTTCCCACGAACTTCTGAATGTGTTTCCAAGTCTTTACAAGTTCATGTTCTCAAGGTAGTTATCGTGTCCTGGGAGGATGAATCACTCAAGATGCCTCTTTGCCTGCTCTGTAGGTTGTGCTGCTGACCATGCCTGGAGCCCAAGCGAGCTGTGGGGAGAGTGAGTATAGCCACGAAGATCTCTGTTGTGTATTGTGTGAAGCAGGTAAGGCTTTGAGCAGTTACAGCTGATAGCTATTGTTTCTTACATTGCATCCTGTGAAAGTGTGAGCCTGATTGGAGCTATGATGAGTTCTTGGTGCTGTTTGTAGTGAGAGCCCCTTAATGCAACAGGAGATGCCTGGGAGAGGTGCTTTGGCATCAAGCCAGGAAGCCTCTGCTTGTGGTTGAGGATCAAGTTTTTGAAGTTAAGTGATTTAGTTAGTGCTACAGGAATTCTGCTATTTCTGTGTCTGTAGGCAATACTTCAGTATGGTTTTGCTCTCCCCTCCATGCTCAAGGTGTGGTAGAGTTAACAAGTTTTGCACCAAGAAGAAACCTCTCCTTAGTATCAGAAGCTTATGGTGCATTGAGGTGGGATTCAGACAAAGGAGGAAAAGAGTTAATTGAAAGCAATTCTCTGTGGGCATGCCCCATTCCTTCAGCCATGGTGCCATCCACTGCAGTGACTCATCCTTGTCCCAGCTGAGGCCTTGCTGGATGCCTCCTTTTGCACCTCTCCCTGTCTGAGTGGCCAATTGCAAATGTGCCTCCTGCCTCTCCCGTGCTGCTCGGTTCATGTGGCACGTGATGGATTTGCAAGGAAGGGTTGACCTCTCCCCAGTAATGTGTGTTTGAATATCCTGGTTTAGCCCCTTTGTCTGTCTAAAGCTCTCCTGAGATTGCTGCTATTTCTCTTCTTCCACAGGTACTTTTGTTGCTGATCACTGCAGTGCTTCCCATTTGAGAGGAAAATGTGACCCTTGCAAGGAAGGAAAAGGCTTTACTGCCCATGCAAATGGCTTGGAGGGATGCGTGCCTTGCAGACAGTGCAAAGAAGGTACTAAATCTTATGAATCCTGATGAAACCTTTAACCATTTCCCCTTTTCTAATGTGGAAAACCTGGTCTTCATGGAGCATATTGAACGTAAAAGTAAATTGCCTTTATGGCCTGAGTATAATCTTTGCACTTTTTAACTTATATTTTCTTTCTAGATCAGATAACCCTGAGTCCCTGTACTCGGACACGGGATGCTGAATGCCAGTGCAAACAAGGGTATTCGTGTGCTGATGAAGCCTGTGAAATATGTGAGAGAAACAGTCCAAGGTAAGTTTGAGAATAAGTCGCTATTTTCCTTCTAGGCAATGCTAGAGCTGTGGCCCAATCTGTGGCAATAGCTAACACATCATCAGGCTGTAAGTAATTGCCCTGAAACCAAATGGCATTATTCATCCATTTACGTTTTAGGTGTTAAAACCTGTGATGTTGAGTCCTAGAAAGACATGGACTTGGGTATCACTGTGCTTGTTGCTTGTGGTAGTAAATTTGCATTTTTTGTCTTCATGTTGGTATTTCCCCAGAAACACACTTGAATGGACTTTCTCACACCCAGCTGGAAAGTTTGGGATTTAGAGCTGCCTGTTGAAGGAAACTTAGTGTGCATGAATAATGCCTGTACTCAGTGGTTTTGTTTGCCCCTCTTAGAAGCTAACATACATTAATTTTATCTGCTTTGCTTTTATTTTTGTTTTGTAGTCTTATCTTGGATTGTTTAAAGGTGCACTTCTAGCAAAGTTTATGCATGTCCCACTTATGGTTCTAAGCTGTGCCTGATAAATAAAGAACCAGGCCTGGGCAGAGCTATGTATTCCTCTGGCAATGTTGATACAACCTTGTGTTCCCATCCACTTCAGGCATCCGGGCGGCAAAGAAATCTTGCAGAATTCCACTGATGCTATGGACACAGGCGTACCCAATCAAGGTCTGGCACACAAATCCCACTCAGCTTGTTCTGTTGGGTCTGTAGCTTCGGGCTAATAACATCAGGGCAGTCTGTAAAACAGTGTTTTCAACTGCTGTAACATATTTAACAGCAGCTGCGTTTTAGTCTGGGAGTTACTTGCTAATGACAAGTTCTCAAAGGGGTTAAAGGGACAAACCACCTTAAGTTTCACTTGGTGAAAAGCTACACGTGTTGCCAGGGTTCTTCAAGTTTCAAAGGTGGCACAGTTGAAAGTTATGGGTAGTGCAAAGATGTTGACTGTGCGTGGAGTAGCTTCCTCTTCTGCCAGGAACGTGCACTGTCCATGCTACAGCACCTGAAGCTTGCTATCATCTTATCTTGCAGACTTATTTCCCCTTAAGTGTCTCTCAGAAAACCTTGTAGAAGTTGTATTGCAGCTCTCTGCAGAATTCCCTGCTGCCTTTGGAATCGTGATGTGCAGTGCAAACAAGTACTCACATGCTCAGGGAGCTAGGGAGTCCCAGTGCCTTTTCCAGGACGAACTGTCTGGGTTGTTGTATTGGTTTGGGCCTAGGTTTTTCTCTAGGACTATAAGGAATATATTTTTGGGAAACTGTTTCAGTACTAATTTTGGTTTTCTTATTCTTACTTTGCAGGGACAAGAGCTCTTTTTGGGTTTGTTGGGGGTTGGTTTTTCCTTTCCTCTTTGCCCTTTAGTTTTTTTCCCATTGACATGCTAAGAAGCACTGATGGTTAGTCCTTGAGACTAGGGCAGGAGAAACTGCCTGGTTTCTTGGGAATTTCTCTCAGAGGTGTTAGGGGTATGCCCCGAGATTCGAAGCAGGGAAAAACAGAGTGAATGGGGGCAGTTGCTCGCTCTTGGCTTTGGAGGAGGATGGTCGCTGTTAACAGTACCCTCCAACGCCAGGAGCTGCCTCTCTGCTGTTGGACCCCACACTCCTGCCCTGCTGGAATGCCCTCCCGCTTTCAGCTTGCTGTTTACAAACGTCCCGCCTCTCCTCCATCCCTTCCTGTCTGGGACAGAGCTGCCATCACTCCAGCGTCCCTGCAGCCACGTGGGGACCATCGTACCTGCCCATCAGGAGCTGGCCAGAGCTCACTGCTGGCTCTAACTGTAGCTGCACCAAAGGGAAAAGTGCCTGCTGCTGAGAGAAATGGAACTGGATTACTGCTCTGTTTGTTGTTAATTCCAGACTTGTTGTTATTTATTTGCCTTATGATATATACAAGTAAAGAACGGTTATTCCTATCCTCATATCTTTTCTTGAGAGCCCCTTAATTTCAAAATTATATTAGTTTAGAAGGAGAGGATTTATTTTCTCCATTTCAAAGGAGGGCCCTGCTTTCCCTGGCAGACACCTGTCTTTCAAACCAGGACAGGGTTATTCTGGCTCTGTTTGGCTTGGGTTTATTGTTCTTGGCTTGTTAATTGTTCTTGCAGAACTGAGAGAGCCCTCTGATGTGTGTTGTGTTGTGTTCTATCACACAGCACACATCAGCTTGGCTTTTAAAACACAAGGGTTTCTTTCCATAGCCCACATACATACTTTCCCCTTAATTTTCAGCCAATACCTGCATTAAACAGCAGCAGCAAGGAAGGATTTGGCACCTAAGAAGCAGCAGGACAAACAGGTTTTCTACTAAGGGGTCTTGAAATTAGCTAAAGGTGTTGGTGCACATCTCAGAAGTGATCTCCTAAGGCAGGGTACCATCCAGTAAAGGTGGTTTAGAGAAAGGCTTCATTGGCTGGTATGTTTCTTTGGCAGGGCTACTAAATAGGAAGTTTTAACCACTTTGCTATGCTGCTGGCATAGGTTTGACACAACAAGACCACCATGTACAAAACCCATCACTTGGACATCCAGCACAACAATTTGCAGGGTACAGGTGGATGTGTGGGAGTTTCATGTGCTCTTCCACGTGAGGGGATATTTGACAGAGAGATCTCTCACTCTGACATACACCTCATTCAGTAAAGTAGGCTACACTGCTGCAATGCAGACTTGCTTTAAAATTTCTTTCCAAAATTTGTACCGTTCTTATTCTTAAAGTCATGGCTACGCTCTACTCCCATGCAGGAAAGTCATGCTCCAAAGTAGAACAGTTCACCACCAGCATTACAAATGCAGCAATAATCTTGTTTCAGCATATTTTACAATAAACTGGAAGCCTTATAGCTCTAAGCAATATTCATTAGCCTCTTTATACTACTCTGTAAGTCAACTAAAGTCAACAGGAAAAAAAAACCAAGTCCCAAGTACTGCCAATATATGGAATACTTACCACTAGGAGAGAGATCTGTAGCAATTATCTGACTTGGTTCTTGTACCTGTAATACAAAATTGGACCATTACTCCAACAAAGCAGGGTGCTTCACTCACAATCGTTTTTTACCTACTTGACAGCTTGCTTTTACAGCATACACAGCAAAAAGGGGAAGGGGGGCATATTTCAGAGCAGACCTGAAAGTACTGGAGTAAAGAAAATTGCATGGTGAAAAAAACATGCGACTGGCTCCAAGGCAGCATTCGCTGCTATCACAAAAGGGTAGCTTCTGTCAGGGAGATGAAAGAGGCAGAGTAAATTAAATGAGGGATTGAAGATTTTTTTCCCCCAAAGATAGCACTTTCCATGCTTCCTATTACATCTTTAAGGCAAAGTTTCCTCTATTGTTTTGCCTGAAAGCTCTAGGAATAGTTGAGCTCAACTGAAGGCATACCAACATTAAGAAAATACAATGATAATTCCACACACATACAGTGCTTACAACTTGCTGGAGTTCTACTTGGAACATTAGACAGGGCATTCTACTGAAAAGAATTCTTGCAGTACTGAGAAAGCCTTTTGATGGGCTCTCTTATAGGGGGAGAACCACAACAACAGTGTGAGCAGCTTATGAAAATTCAGCTACAAGAAAATAATACTGAGATAATAATTTCTACATTTCCTAATAATAGAAAAAAAATCTATCAGATGGTTCTCCTCTGGAGAAACACACTGGGAAAACAACAATCTCTTATTAAGTTACTGGATGCATTGAAGCGTCTAAAATATGGAGGCTTATTACAACATATTCAACACTTTAAAAAGCAATAACATTTTAAGTAGAAAATAAAGATTAATGTTTATGATGAACTGAAAAAATGTTCCTGTGTACATATGTGTATCTTCATACTTCCTTTAAATGAGGGTGTCAGAAACGACTAGTAGGAATAGAATTGACACCCGGCTCTGTGCTTGCCAGCATCCTCACAAACGCAGCCCCCAGGCAGCTACCTGCTTGCCCTCACAGGTGGGCGGGGCAGCACCCTGCAAACCCAGCACTGAGCCATTCCTGATTCCTGCCTCGCAAGCAGCCAGCTCCACACAGCACTGACTCTTTCCCTCTTTCTCTCTGCAAGTTTCCTTCTTTCTTCTGCATGACCGGCTAAACCTAACCTGTCC